GGGGTTACTCTTAAAATCTAGTGCGTCCAGAATCAGGGGTACCCTGAGTTCTCATAATTCCTGCAGCCCGGTCATCCCAAAGCACTGTCAAAACGCGGACTTAACCCTGAGCCTAAACCCCTAAACTGCCATTTTCAGGCGGCGCACTACTTGTGGCCGCCTGACAACGTATCTCCCGCTGCAAGCTTGATTCAGCACCTTTTTCACCTTTCTCGCCTGCTACAGTGAGACCCCGTCATTAACACACCCACCGGCCTTATGCCTTGCCGGCTTCCTTCCACCACCGCAGTGCAACGGGTAACTGCTCTGATACCAGTGCAAAGATCCTGACACTATTTCACGTGCAAAGCAACATGCAATTGAGAGCAATTAAATAAAGCTCACATGAGCTTGAGATATGGCCATGAACAATGCAAATTCGAAGTTCCACTTAGATACAATAATATACAATTAAAAAAATCCGGAATTGGGCAGTAGCAACTGCTAAAACAACCCCCAGCTCCGACCCTGACTTTCCCCTTCTGTCCGATTTGCTGCTTTTCTCTTAGTTTTTTTTTTTTCTCTCTCTCTCTCTCTCTCTCTCTCTCTCTCTCTCTCTCTCTCTCTCTCTCTCTCTCTCTCTCTCTCTCTCTCTTTCTTTTTTTCTCTGTTCATCTTTGTTTCTGTCCCTTTCTGTTCTCTCCTCCGTCTACGTCCTAGATCTACCCTGAATGCTACTGCAGCGTGTCTCTCTCAACATCAGGTGGCGATGGCCGCCAAGTCTGCTTCTCCCCCTCCTGGCTATGGCTGTCTCCTTCAGCCAGAGCACTGGGCATCTTCTCCCTTTAGCGCTCTTGTTCGTCCAGGTCGCTAGTTCGCACAACTCCAACATCGCTCCACAAATTTGCGAAATGAACAACTGCCTCCTGTCTGGCACTGTAGCCCAAAATATATTGTTTTCGTGGGCTGGGCCTGCCTGCTTCGATCGGTACTGACCTCCTTTTGCCTCTGACCTGCCAAGTTGCTATTTTGGGAAGTTTCTCACCTTTCTTGTGAGGCTGCTGCGAAAACTAGACCTTTGGGGACTGGCATGATCCTACAGGTACTGTTCCTACAGACCTACGACAGCTAGACCTACAGACACTAAGATTTAACTATGAGTAGGGCCTGCGGACTGCAATAATTGGGGACTCTGTAATAGGGACTAGTAGGCTTGCAGCGTGAATCCATTCAGGAGGAGATCCAGCCCCGTATGAATCTGACTGCAATCACGTCCAGAGTTTAGCAGAAAAAGTCCTGAGTGGAGGAGAGATCCTACGCAGCTGCTGACGGATCTATTATCGCCTGTCAATGACGCTCTGCCATCACTTTGGCAACTGAGCTAGTAGGCCGCTGGATCGAGGTCATCTCGGTCTGTATTTCTTTTGTCTTTTTTTAAAAATCTTTTTTATTTTTTATTATGAACTCCACAGGAAGGCGACACTTGAGCGGCGGGTGATAAGATAAGGCCTAGTTCCACACCACTAAAGAATCCTTACTTTGTAAGGGCGCCCTAACTCGGCGAGGGTGATTAAGTTGCCCTAACTTTTTTTTTCGTTCCACAACACCCTAGGAAGACCCTACACTTACGCGCCCTTACTTTTGAGGTGGAGAGGCGCGAGTGTCAAAACCTCGGCCTGTCGGGCACGGATGTCCGTGAAGCCGGTGTGGCGGACAAGCAGTTGTCCATGGTCTGCGGGCCCGTGGGACATGAATTTTTTGGGACACCGACGTTTTGCGTGGGTGGCGTACCGGGCGCGCGAAGACGGCCGTCGTCGATATGAAAAGTGCGCGCAGCGAAGCAAATTTGAATTCAAATTCGCGCCGACATTCGTCCGCGCCGCGCTCTCCCCTGATCCGTTGTTCCTACCGCCTTGGGACCTCGGTGGCCATAGCCCGCCAGCCGACAAGTGGGGTGTGTGCGTCTTTGCGGTTGGTTAGGGGCAATGGAAGACAGTGTTGGTGATGCGCCTGGGGAGCGGAGGTTGACACAAAGGGTGAGGTCGTTGTTAGGGACGGCGTTGCTCGAAGTTTCTCGACACATGCAGACGGTGAACGACCTGCGGCGGGCCAGCGGAAGACAGAGGGGCAGACGAGAGGCCACCATAGCCCAGGCTCTGATGGACGTGCACTCCTCGCCAGGTCTATGGGATGCGCCGGTCCTGTTGTCGAACGCCATCATGGCGGGTGTGATGCCCAGGGAGTCGCCAAGGTGGTGGGTGAAAAGGACCGGGGGGACATGGAGGGACCTCAGGTCCTCAGCATCGCCGACGATGCAAACAACGAGTACTTCCATGACAAACTGCGTATGACGCGGACGGTGTTCAATGACATTGTGGCGGCGTGCAGTCCTTTCCTTCAACGCAGACTGACTCACTATCGGAAGCCTTTGCAGCCCGACCATATCGTGGCGTACGCACTGTACCGATGGGCGCCCGGGGAGACTTTCGAAAGCAGCACTTCGTCGTTCGGCATAGGGAGGTCGTCGAGCATCAAGGCTGTCCAAGACGTAACAAATGCCATTTTGGCCGCATTTCCGGAGAAGATTGCAATTCCAAGTGGTCGTCGTCTCCTACAGGTCATGCGAGCTTTCAGCAGGAAAGGTTTTCCGAATTGCTTCGGCGCCATCGACTGCACCCACATTTATGTGGACAAGCCTGCCAATGTGCCATCCGAAAAATACTTTGATCGAAAGCAGCAATTCTCCGTCGTGGCGCAGGTTGTAGTCGACCTGGACATGCGGGTTATCGACATCTTTGTCGGTTATCCGGGGTGTGTCCACGACCAGCGCGTGCTGCGAAACTCCTCTCTCATCAGGCGAGCAGAGGCGGGAGAGATCTTCAACGCGGACCCGATCGTCCTCCCAGGAGGGGTGAGGACAACGGGGTACCTGCTGGGGGACAATGGTTACGCCCCGCGGACGTGGATTGTCGTTTCGTACGGGGGCTCGGAGCAGGCGGGGGACGTCGCTCAGTTTGACACGCGGCAGAAGACCACGAGGGGGGTCGTCGAGAGAGCGTTTGGGCGCCTCAAGGGGATGTGGAGGTTGTTCCTTCGTCATCACAAGACGAACATGAATAACCTTCCGCAACAATTCGTTGCCGTGTGCATGATCCACAACCTCCTGCTTGAGGACGGGGTTGCTTTCGACGAGGGCCTTTTCGTAGACCGCGATGGGGACAGGAACCCCATCCCCATAGACCTCGGTTTGCAGGATTTGTCGCATCTTGCCTCCCAGGCAAACGCCACGGAGGCTGCCCTCGCTTTGTGTGACGGTCTCCGCATGCTCAACGAATAGGAAGTTCTCGAAAGCATCGTTAGGGTTGTGTGTGTACGTGTGTGTGTGTGTAGGAGGGGGGGGGGTCGAGAATATTTTTGCGGTAGACTGTGCGAGTGCGATGTGGGTGTTAAGACATTGGTGGAAACGTTTCGTTACTAGTGAATTGTGTTTTGTGTTCGTCATACTCGTTCTTGCACCTTTTCTTTCAATCCATTTCGCGCATGTTCTTTTGATCTCTTTGAACACTGTTTCTCACAATGGCGGATTGTCAGTCATGATGCTTGGTCCCTTTTGAAATGATTAATTGTGTTTGTTGCCCTGAGGTTGTCAATTTGCTGTGCGTACGTGTTTTTGTTATTTACCAAACGAATCCTATTATTTCATGTTTTGGTGTACACATGCTTTTTGTGATGTCTTTGCCAGGAGTTAATGGATATAGCAAGAAAACATGTAAAAGAGCGAAGACATAAAAAGCACATAACGATTACAATGAATACCGAAAGCGAGATAAAGAGAGCAAGATAGCAGGCCCAAACTCTTACAATCACTTGTACTGCCATGTCCAGTGACAACAAAAAAAACGACAAGAAAGAATCGACAAACCATTGCAAGACATCAACATGAACATGATCAACCGTGTTTTACCGGAAAACATGGTGAAGTTGAATGCGAAAACAACATGGCATCTCTCTCTCTGTCTGTCTGTCTGTCTGTCTCTTTGTCTGTCTCTCTCTCTGTCTCTCTCTCTCTCTCTCTCTCTCTCTCTCTCTCTCTCTCTCTCTCTCTCTCTCTCTCTCTCTCTCTCTCTCTCTCT